CAAAAGAAAACAAAAAACAAAACAAATATCATTGTGTTGCAAGAGTAAAAACTGGGTTTTTAACGGCAAGAAATTAAATAAATTTCAATGTTACTTGTTAATGTATGGAAAACGAAAATATATTACACATATATTGTTATAATTCCAGATACAACGCAATCTAAAGCAAAAAAAAGTAAATAATATTGATCAAACCAAGTTTTTGATTCAGCAATTATCCATAATAGCAAGCAATCCACTCAAATGCAACAAATCGACAAAAACACTAAACAACTAACAAATTGCACTTTAATGTTAACAAATGAAAAAAAACCTTAAAAGGGAGAGCCCTTCCTTCTGGTAGCCTTTCCCTTTAATTTTCGCTGTTGTGTTTTGTTTTATAACAGAGTTTTGCGAGTAAGTTGACTTCGGTTTAAATGTTTTTATGTATCTCCTTCAACTGATGTTTCGTTTCCGTCTAGTTTTTGTATTATTTACGTACACACTTGATGCACTTTTGGCATTCAATATTGATGCTAGCAAAATGTCAAAGCGAAATTGAGAACGTAACACATTATTTTGCCTAACAATTATCCATATAAACAGAAACGAATAAAATATTGAATAAGAAAAGGAAGTCTTTCACCAACAAAACTGTTTTAAATTTTCAAATTTTATTAACAATTGACAGTGGGAAAAAAATCAACAAATGCAAAATATTATCGTATGGTATCGATTCGTTGGACACTAGGTCTGCAGTATGGAGACGGGCTCTTGCATAATCTCTTGAATCTTTGCCTCTGGCACAAGCACACCGTTGGCCAGCAGTGTGTGAACAATGCCATCAAGTTTATTGCCACTTGAGCGTGCTTGTAGCACGAATTCAGTGTCCTGCAGAATGAACTTGGTGTCCGTGCCGCCGTGAACGAAAACAGACTGCAAAATGGTGGGAAGGTTGTGGAATACTAAGGGTAACTCTTTTTATTTTGCCACATGTTTTGACACTCACCTCCTCCTGGCGCAGGTCATCGTTTACGTAGAGACTCAGAGTATCAAGCTTGAGCATTATTCGATACTCCTGCGGAGGTGTGTCGGAGGTGCTCGACGAATGGCAGGTGCTGAGCCACAGCCGGTACTGACGTGCCACGTCCTCTGTGTACTGGTCGTGTGACTTTCCGTCGATGTACAGTGAGTACTCGTACTTGAAGCCAGGCGCCGGATCAACGCGTATAATGCAGCGGGACTGATCGATATGAAAGGTGTCCTCACCGACCAGTTTAAACATCCAGTCACGCCGCAGGACCTCCTGCAATGAGTTATGACAGTGCTCAGTGGGGGATAGCATGTAATCCACTTAAAAACAATGAAAACGAGAAGGGACGTGTGAGACGCTTCTTACGCGTCACAACTTTAATACCCGGCACTCAGTACTACATCTGCACCTTAGCGGTGTTTTGTCAAATTTTACATATTTTCTTCATCTGTCATCTTCATCCACAACACTTCTTACACCAACACGCTCCTTTAGCTCGCCGCCCTTCCCTAGACCCACACACTGTTGACTCGCGTCAGAGGCAGAGGCCAAAGCAGAGTGAGAATGAAAGAATGTGAAAAAAACAACAAAAGCTGCGGGACAGGGTGGGTTTAGCCACTGCAAAATTCTGGCTAAAATAATGATCCAATCGGATTTGGTGATCAGATAGATATGGCCATTTTCTACGGAATGGCGTTTTTAGTTTTCTTTTATCTTCAAAATTGTAGGTTTCGGAGGTTTTCGCCCTTTTTGCGGGGGCGGAAGGGGCGGGGCTCATTTTTAAATACACTTGTAACAGTGTGAGCAAATTTTGGTGGCTCTAGCTTTAATGGTCTCCGAGATCCAGGCGGAGATCCAGATCAACAAGACGGACGGGAGGACGGACAGACGGGCGGACAGAAAGACATGGCTCAATCGAATCGGCTATTGATGCTGATCAAGAATATATATACTTTATGGGGAAACGTTTCCTTCTGTGCGTTACATACATTCACTTTGTGCACAAATACAATATACCCTATTTACTCTTCGAGTACCCGGTATAACAACAAGTTTAATTCCATTCTTCGAGATACAAACAGTAATTACATGGCCGTACACTATGCAAATACTTCACTCCTCCCATCCCCGCCATCCACCGTTTTCAGCATGGGGTGGAAAAACTTACCCGACTATTGACCCAAATCATGCGCCGCCCGCTAGTTGTGCCATGTTCCAACTCGATGCGGTACATCTACGGAAAAATACACAACATTTTCATGGGTTTCAGCTGAGGTGTTTTTGGGTAATACGAGTACGCGTACCTTTCCATTGATAGGCACGCACCATTGGGCTACTATGTTCTGTTTGTTGTAGCGCTGGTCCTCGGGCACATGATCCTGCGTCATGATGGGCTGCGTGGACAGATTCTCCAAGCGCAGTGTAGGCGACAAAAAAGACATTGACTCGATCCAACTCCTTGCCCCCTACTCTAAGGCGTCGCACAGGTAGTAAAAGAATCAATAGTACCCATTAAAATTCAAGTAATTGCATTTAAAATGCAACAAACAAATTGGTATTATACAACCGCTTAGGTTCTTTGTTTAGTCAAAAGTTCAAAGAACTTTGCTTAAGGGTCACAATGAGGGTTTGAACTAATCAAAATCTAGATTTAGCTGGTTTTACTTTACGGGTCAGAAGCGATTGCACCTTGCCTTCTTTTGTGGCCAACGAAGTAGACGCGATTTGGTTAGATTTTGAATAAAGCCCCAAACTATTGCCAGTAAACCGCAAGAACGAACCGCACGTTGTTAGCGCCAATGGCACACTAAACAACATACAATATAAACCAAATGAAGGAACAGAGAAAAAACTAGTCGTTGGCCGCCTGCCTTTTGGCTTTTAGTCGCGTTTGTCGGCCTCTGCTGCTGCTCGAAAGGCAAAAGAAAAGTGCAGAGAGCAGAGTACAGAGTCGCTAGCAAGCGACTCCGCATGGCGCCAAAAACAGAGTTGATTTGATGCCTCCAGCACTGGGTGTGTGCTAGTGTGTGTATGTGGTTGTATACACTCCTCAATACCCATAACCCCCACTTGCGTCGTTGTTCGCATAAAAATAAACTTTGCGCCAAGTATGCAATGGTTTTTGCATTGCAATTGCCATGCCCATTCCCAAGCCCATGCCATCCGTGGTTTTGGAGAAGCTCCAATTGAGCGAATATACCCTTACGTATGCACATATTTTATTCTAGATGACAATTATATGGCCCAGGGGGATACATATCCACACCCACAGTCTTCACCCGGCCCTTTTGGCAGCCTTTGGCTAGGGGCAATCGTCGCAAATAATTTGTCGCATTTTGTTTTGTTCTCGTGTTTATGGCGCAACATTTTGTGGCCATAAATACACGCCGGAAATGCTAATGACCGATAGGATGGGGTAGGTAGGATCACGGCACGGGGAGGAAGAACTGCCACGTTTCGTGGCAACAGCAGCAGAAGAACTGTGAGAAAAGTTGGCGCCTCAATCGACCAGATCCGATATTGATAAATGTATTTGGGCCAGATTGGGTAAGGAACCTAAAAAGAAACAGGCAGCACATCATATGTCAAATCGAATTGCTTGGAACGCCTTGGTTCAGAGTGGGGTAACAAAAACATATGCCATCTCCACGTCAGAGTCGCAACACGCGAAGGTCACTGGAAACGCGCCGTTTGGAGTCGCTCTCAGTTGTAGTTGGGCTTTGGTATGTGGCAACAACAAAAAGACACCAACACACACAGATAAGGAAACATTTGACAAGGACAAGGTCCAACACCCACCAGCGCACAACGCTCTATCATCGGCGAGCTCAAAGTGTCCGTGTATGCCTGTGCCTCTCTCTCTCTCTGTTTGCTTCTGTGTGTCTGTGTGTAATTATTATTATTAGTGCTATATAAAAAAGAAATGTGTGTGTCTGCACACAGTCATCCTTTTTTCTGACGCCCGCCAGCGGCTCTTCTTCGGCGCGATGCACAGTGGGTGCTTACAGAGTTTTACGTGTAAATATGTATGGGTACATGAAAATATTAAAGAATTCAGTTATCAGGAGCTGAAGAGTTGATTTATTGTTTAATTTTCGTTTACTTCTAGAAGTAAAGTATCTTCCATGGAAAAAATGTTTTATGGGTTGTGAAATCAGGAAGGGCATACAAAAAGTGCACCATTCGATGAGGTTTACTTGAAAAAGTAAAGGTTCAAGTTTTCACTCATTTATTAATCCTCTCGAGCACACTGTATTCGGTTGCGCTTTTTCGTTGCCTACTTTCCTGCGGAATTTACCACCGCAGCGCTGTTTGTACACATTTTTTATGCAAATATATTTGCCGAAAGTGCCGCCGCAGACAACATTCGTTGACGATGATGATGTTGTTGTGGGCATGTGGGTAGTTGCGGTCTCCATAACCCAACCCATCCCGGTGTCCACTGTAGGATTGCGTGCCTCGCTGGGTGTCGGTTGACAGGCACACTACGAATGTCTCCGACAATTAATTTCCATAGATAATTGCCTGTCGATAACGACAGCGCCAGCACCAGGGACATTAATCACTAAGCCCGGCTGTTTTTGTCTGTTGGGTGGTTTGATAAGATTTAATCAAAACTATGGCGAAATGACAAAGTGAAAGTTGTATTTCAGTGATTTGTTGTAACGCTCTTAAATCAAATTGAATTGGCAAAATGTGTGCGCTGGCTTTAGTTAGCTAGATTTGTATGCATGTGTGTGTGTGTGTGTGTGTGTGTGTGTTTGGTGTTCTATGTACTAGATAAACTGAATGGATATAGCAGTGCTCGACTTTGTATAACCAGCTACAAAAGAACATAATACTGATCACAACGCCAATATAATAGAATGCGAAAGAAATCTCACTCCCACTCTAATTTCGTTTCATTTCGTTAACAATTTTCCATGGAAAACAATGATTGGATACATTTCTCAATTGGACAATAAATATGGAGGAGTGTGCGTATGTGTAATGTGTAAATATATATATATATAGAATTTATATTGCTGCACTATAACAACTAACATAAACAGCAACTATCCTTTGTAATCGAGTAATTTATCTATACATATACTTAATTTTGGGGCACAAATTTGAACGACGCTGGGCGTAAGTTGTAGGCGCTAGTTGTAGGTATTTTTGCCTGATTATCGTGTCTATATATGTATATACTTGTTCGTGTGCGTATATATATATATATATATATGCATATGTTTACTTATAAGTAACGCTAATTGCACTATTTAAATAAATACGGGTACGTCTTGCTGTCAGAATGAGTGCTTCCCAACTTGAGATACAAATGCGTTATGCATTTAAGCTAATTAAGCTACATGTCTATAATTCATAATTGACACAACTAAATATTGCCTTTTGCTGATCGATCGCTTACATAACTATTTACAAAGAATACTGAGTAATCAAATTAATTTTGGATAAATCTAAGCAAGTACAGTCATTTAAAATAAGAAATTCATAGAACCATTTTCGGAATAAAGCGTAAAAAAATACAAAATGAAAATGAGTTAGAATATAAATACAAATATCATCCATATCATGAGGTTCCTCATCTGTTTAGCGAGTAGTTACTTCATCTAGGTATGTGGAAAATGGCAGTTTGGATGCACCTATCTATCATATATGAAAAGCGTAGGCTCTGTTAGCTGGCAATAGTTTTCTATGACTGATCTATGGATCGCCAGGGCGGAAGAGGTCGCGATTTATCAACTAACATTATGGTATATCCAAGCGTTTTGATCCAAAATTGGCTTTTCAGCTCCATTCAGGAAAAATGCTGTAGAAAAATGCACAAAAAGTCTTCGGTCTCGTGATGGGAATCGGTTTAGGTTTAGAAACAAATGGTCCATCATTTTCTTGACAACATTATGTTCATGACAGTGCCACTATTGAGCAGCACCCGTTTGGCATCCTTTAGATTCGCATTGGTCAGGTCGTAGCCATCTATCTCAAGCAGCTTGTCGTTGACGCTCAGCAGGCGAGCAGCGTTTGTATTGGGCGTAATGGCACTCACAAAGATGCCCACCTAAAGAGCAAACAATCAGAATCTATTCTGTCTTTAAAATATGATTAGCAAAATGACTCACGTGATTGAGCAGCTCGGCTACGTCAAAGCCCATGCTGTGCTCCCATTTGAGGGTAACCTGCTTGACTGTTGGGTTCTTGTGGACGCCAAATATCCAGGTGGACTTTTTGTGACTTGCCCTGGAAGTGTTATTGGTGGCCGTGGAGTTCATTGAGTGCTGCGACAGGCTATCATCTGGCTCTTCTTCCTCATCCTCGGGACTTTGCTCCAGATTGCTGACGTTATTTTGGTAGTCCAGTTGCTGTTCGATGGGCTCCTCTTCCTGAGCACCAATCGCCGTGGTCTTAAAGTTGCTATTCAGAGCATCCTGATAGATCGTCTGTTCCAACTGCTGCTGCTGTTGCTTGCGCTGTCTCATGGACTCGTACAGATTAAGATCCTCGGGAGTTTTCTTTGTGTATACTCTAGCTATGTGGTAGGGTGGCGGCTCTAATCGAGGTGGCGGCACTCCCTGCTGCTGATGTTGGGGAAGCTGCTGCTGCTGTTGCTGCAAGGGCTGCAACTCATAGTCCTCCTGCTCACCGTTCAGATGTGTGGTGGGTAAGGTATTGGCCTCGACATACAGCTGCTGATAGTGCGCCTCGTAGTTGACCAACGGCAGACCGTAGTACTCTTGTGTAGGAACCGGAAGCTGCTGCGTGGTCGCCGGCTGCTGATAGACCCCATAGATATGAGCGTTCTCTGGCGCAACGCCGTATATTGCACTTGCTGCGGCCTGATCCACAACATCTTGTTCGGCATTGCTGCTATCACAGTGAACTTGGCCATTGGGCACCACGCGTGCCTCCCTAACTTCGTTGGCATTCGCCGACGTCGCCGCTGCCTGGGCTTGTCGCACGTATTTCGCCATTTGGCGCAGCTCCTTGGGATACGGCGTGGGTGACCGCATTAGCCGAACGGATCCTGCCATCTGCTCCGGCGTGGGAGTTGGCGGTGCAGCGACATAGTTGGGATAACTAGGAGCCGGCTGCGTTTTGGCATTGCTCAAGATGGTGGCCTCCTCGGCAAAGCAGATGCGTCGCGAGGGACTGGCATGCGGATGCTGCTGGTTAGCGTAGACAAACTCGTACTGCTCCTGAGCCTGCTGCTGGGCCTGCATGCTGTTCATCTTGAAGGTGACCTGGGGCAACATGAAGCAGGTCAACTGTGTTTTTGTACTGGCATCCAAGTATTGCAGGGGCACCAAGGGCTGCGACTGATTGTCGCTTAGCCACAGCGAGGTGAGATTCACTAGGTTCAGCATGGAGACGGGCAGCGCGTTGATATAGTTGTTAACCACGTTGATGACCTTCAGCTTCCCCAGGTTGCCTATGTTGTGTGGCAGCGCGGACAACTGATTGTTGGCCACACTCAAGACACTCAGCTGCTGGCAGCTGCACAACTCGTCGGGCAGCTGGCGGAGCTGATTCTCATCGGCGAAGAGAAAACGCAGATTTCGCAGCATCCCAATTGTGCTGGGCAGGCGGATCAACTTGTTGTGACTCAGGACCAGTTCCTCCAGCTGCTCCAGGTAGCTAATGCTGTCGGGAAGCTCCGTCAGGCCGTTCGACTCGCACTTGAACGTCACCAGAGACTTAAGCATGCCGACGCTGAATGGGAATGCTTCCAGGTTGTTGGAGCAAATGGATAGAACCTCCACATTCCGCCAGTTGCTCAGCTCGCTGGGCAGTGTGTCCAGTAGATTGCCATTGGCCTCAAAGTGCTGCAGCTCGCGCAGTCTACCAATGTTGGCGGACACGCGGCGTATTTGATTAAAGTCGATCCACAGCTCTCGCAAAGATTTCAGCTCACCAACAACTTCGGGCTGCAAATTGAATTGATATTGATGTTATTCATATTGATGTGGTTCCATGTTTCACTCACAAGCTCTGTAAACTCATTGCCACCAATATCCAGACGCTGTAGATTCACCAGCCGCACCATCGACTTGGGCAGCGTGATGAGGTTGTTGAGACGCAGCTCGAGAATCCTCAAATTGACCAGCCGTCCAAAGTTGGCTGGGAGAAACTCCAGGTAGGTTTCGTTCAGCAGCAGCTCCTGCAGGGATATAAGCGAGGTAATTGCATCTGGAAGACGTTGTAGGCTGTTGCAGCTCAGATCCAGACGGGTTAAATGCTTGCAGGCTTTGATTTCATCGGGCACATTGACAATCACTGAAAGAAAACAAATCTTAATGAGTATCAATTGGGGGATGGCGAGTTATTAATCTCACTCACGATTCCGATTGAGATCCAAATTCTGTAGCTGGCGCAGACTCCCAATGGCCTGGGGTATGCTCTCCAGATTGTTGCTGTTCACGTGGAGCACACGCAAGCCCTGACAGTAAAACAACTGCGGGGGCAGCGATTGCAGCTAAAGGAGACAAAGGGAGGTTAGCAGAAAACGACATACAACAAAGGAGCAGCGGACTCACCCTTGTGGTGCTCAGGTAGAGCTCCTCCAGCGTCCGCTCGTGCTGCCAGACCTCGGGGAAGTCGGTGAGCGGTGTATTGCTATAATCCAGCTTGTCAATCACCTCCTCGTGCTTGAATTTGAAGCAGGGAAAGCATTTGCTCAGGAGCGGCATCTTTAGTTATATTTACATATATTGCTAGTCGTTCGATATTAAGGCACGGTTCGGGTTGCTGCAGAACAAAAAGAAGAGCACCCAACTGTCAGACACATACATACCGCATGCATACATATATGGTGCGGTAAAGCAGGCTGACTTAATGGGGTCGAGCCGAGGGATTGCCGCATAGCTCACCTATGATTCATCGCTGAAGTTGGAGCATTACTGTGGGTCCTGCTCCATTACATTCCAAAGCCATTGACATTCTTCTCACTTTTTTTTTTGGCTTGTTATTGTTCTGTCCACCAACACTAGCATGCACATATGCACACACACCTACACTCGCATACACAAAAGAGACTTCTTAAGCCTCTCTTAGCTGCTCTTGTGCATGCACTTCGCTGTGCTTGTGGTTTACCATTAACTCTTATTCTAATTAAATGCGATTTGATATTATTTAAACCATCTAATGCAGTTTTATTTAATGTTTTTTTTTTGGTATTTAGTTCGATGATGGGGCTGTCGATATTCTTGAAAATGTATGTTCTGTGTTGCTCTCGATATTTGTTTATGAGTGATGCTATCGATGATTGTTGATGAGGGCATGCAAGGTGTTGCCTTGGAAATGTTCGAATACTTGAAACAATATAAGGCTTAGTTAAAAAGTGTGGTCGTGTGTAAGAGATTAACAAATGATAGAATGTAGGGCGATGTAATTTCATAGATTGATGTGTAAGTGTAGGTGTAAGTGGAACTAGTTCCAGCGGAACTATCCATAGAATATACCAAAATATACTTTGTCATTTTAAAAATATACAGTAAATAAACCAAAAACTCTAAATCATATTGCTCTATTTTATAAATTCTGATTACATTTACCAGATGGTTAAGACTCTCAGCACTAAACCGACAATTTGATTCGATTCATTAATCAGTTCTCCACAAGATTGGCTAGTTGTTACGACCTCATTTTATTTGAATTAAGCTTATAACTAGAGCGGTCAACAAACAGAAAAAACATAAACGTTACGTGAGTAAGATTGGACTGTTACGTATTTGACAATTTGTTGGTTGTCAACGGGTAGGTATTTGTTGTATGGGTCGACACTATTTCCATATTTTTATATTAAAATTAAATTTTCAAAGCTGATCTCAAACATTAATAATGACTTTATCTTAGACTTACATGTTCTTAATCTTTTCATATGTTTTCTATCTGGATACGTTCTCGATATCTATAGTCTGCAAAATTTTGTTGAGATAGATTTCCAGCACAGGATTGACTTGTTTTGCATTGATTGGAGCCTGAGATCACCATCATTTCCTCGAATCCAGGATATCCTTCCCACAAGGAGTTCTTTATGTGGCCTTAATCCGTGCCATGTTGGGGAGCAATTCTGATAACTTTTCGCAGCATGCTGCTGCTCCCTACAATTTTTGTTGCCAACGATGGGATGGTTTAAAGGTTATACCTTCTCATTTTCAAAATATATCGTAAATACAAATCGTAAGTCGTTTTCCTCAATTTTGATATTTCATTTTACCAGCTAATTTTGACTTTCATCTTTAAAACTATAATTTTATCCAGTATTCTCCAATTAATATTCATTTATTAATGTTAAAATTTCAATTTCCAAGCAGCTTATAAACATCAACGACATGACGAGTTGCAGGTGTCATTTTTTTCAGACTATCGATAGATTAGCTGACATACATAGTTCAGCAAATGAGCAACAGATGACGCCAGAAAGGAGCCGTTTGGATTCAAATTAAAACAAAGTAAAAACAAAAACAACATTTTTTTACAAATGCAGTGCATTTGCTAATTTAATATTTGTTTTCCATTTCCTGGCGGCGTGAGCGTGTGCTCACTGTTGATAACGAAGGTGTGTTAACTTTGCAATAAAGTAAGCAACCAATCAAGGAAATTAGCCATTTTCGAAGCTTCAAAGTTCAAATGGGTTAATGCGTATAGCCGAACGGCCGCCAATTAAAGCCCTGCTCGATGCTCCAGCCCAACCTATACTTTGACCGGTCAGTGTCGTCAGGTTTTCGTGTGTCGTCGTGTGAAAATTATACAAATAACGGCCACTTTTGTTGTTAATTTTTGTGTTTTTTTTTGTGTTGTTGTTGAGTCTGTGAGCATTGACGAATTTACACTTCAAACAATTGTTAAACTATACAGCATAGTGCAAATAAGTACGTAATAAACCACTGGCAGCTATTTGCAAGAGAAAACTTTGTGCGAGACGGCGTGGGTCGGCAAATGAAGGTGGAGATCTCAGTTTCGGTTTAAATGCTGTACGCTGCAGTTGATTCCCTTTCCGCCGGATAAGTCGTTGTGAGTGGATATGGATAGCCGTGGATTGTTAATGTTGAATATGGTTTCCCCCAAAATATTGATTAAAGTGCGTCCCACCAAGATTTCTAAATATATCTACACTAATAATGCTTTATTGCATAATTTGTGACCGCTGTCCACTGCTGTTTTTCCCACAGTTTACCTAGTGGATTCGCCCCGTTTAGGATCGATTTACATTAACAATTAACAAACATCTGTTATGGCTTTCACAACCAATTATCACCATGGCACGGTATTCCGTACGTGTATTAATAAGTAGATTCGAATCTACTACGGCTCCTGCAATTAAAACCACCTGTCGGCCTGAGTTTCATTGAAGAAATGTACTCCATGACCCACACTGGCACACGCCACAAGAGGGCGATAGCAGAGAGAGATATGGAAATGGGTAGCACAACCCCCAGGCAGAACACACCCCCACTTGGGCTCTCGCTTATCACTGGTTCATCCCCACTAAAAATGAGAGCGCTGTGAGAGGGAGCGAATCGGTTTTATTGCATTTAAATTGGGTTCTAGGTCCTCGGAAATATCTTCGAGGAGTCTTTTTTGTAAGGAAGATGTCGTGTAATTTGGATTTTGTTTGCTACATTTCGAATACCTTGAGCACCATTACTTCTTCTTGCCCTTGCCCTTCTTGGAGCCCTTGGCCGCCTTCACTGTTGCCGGCTCTACCGTTGATGCTGCGGAGGGAGCTCCTGCGGGGTCGGTAGTAGGGGCCTTCTCTGCTCCACCCTTTTTGGCAGTTTTGGCAGAATCTTTCTTCTTGGCCGGCATTATCTTAAAACGGAAGTTTATTTAATTAATTATAGTTTTGAGCTGAAACATACCACACCTTGATTAAATTTGGAAATATGCAAAACAATTTTTCCGGGCAGAACCGATAGCACAAAAATTTGATGCTTAGCTCTCGATATTTGGGAGAGAACTAATTTTCCAAATGTTTTTACAAGCTTCTACGTAACATTTAAAGTTCAAGACCTGCTTTATGTTTTTGATTTTAATTCGAATTTGAACCGTTTCGTGAATCGGTTGACTCAGAATATTTCAACCGCCGCCCTCATTTTGCGCCTGCCATGGGGGCGCTGCTACTCACCCGCCGTGCGCACTGGCACTTGGCCACTCTCTCTCTCTCTATCTTTCTGTCTGTATGTGTTCCGGGTCCGTGGAACTCAACGCTCCCATTTTCCTGCATTTGTGAAAACGGAGCCAAAGAGTGCGCACCAAGACCAAAAGGGCCGCCAAAGTTTTCTAGTGCAATTTTAGTTATTAGCGCAAAAGTACAACTAATTTTGATAGCAAAGGCAAACCCAGCAACCCTTGCCACACAATACTTGATAGATAAACATTTGTACAAACGGCATCTTCAATACAATCAAGCAGGCGACGCTTTTCCCGACGTCAAATAAAAAAAAAAAACAAATTATCGATTTTGGGACTCACGTGAAGGCCGGAAAGTGTTTTCCAAACTCCGACGGTCTGAACGTATTATAAATAAACTTCGCCAAGTGCAATAAACCCAAAAAGAGGGAAGAATGGCAGCCAAACGGAATACTGTCACCACAGACGTGCCGGAATCATCTGTCGCGCCAGCTGAAGGAACCGCCCTCACCCTGGACCCACGCTTATCGCTCCGCGTCGACAGTGTCATACCCAAAAAGCGGTGAGCTGAAGAGGATAACACTTAACCATTCTTATCAATCGTTATTAAATATGTATCTTCTTTCTATCCTTACCACAACAGCCACGAGGCGTTGAAGTGGTTCGGCTGGGGCTACAACGACTCGCAGTTCTATGGCCAGAATGGCATCATCTGTTTTCGGGGCGACAAGTGAGTGTCCATGGGAAATGTTGCACATTTTATGTTAAACCACCTTTTCTCTCCCCGCAACAGATACCCCTTGGGTGGATGCGAGCTGCCGAGCTTTACCAAATGGGTGGAGAAAAAGTTCGAGCTTACTGTGGACCCCAGAAAGCCGTATCCCCAGCTGCCTCAGACGTACCCAAGGCCCGTGGAGAATGCGCCCTTCCTGAGCGAGCTGCGCGGCATCACCAAAGTGGAGCACTCGCTGGAAGGCATCGACCGACTGATTCGATGCCATGGCCAGACCCTGAACGACATCTACAGCCTGTGGCACAACAAATTTCAACGCATACCCGACGTGGTGGTGTGGCCGCGGAGCCACGAGGATGTTGTCCAGCTGGTCCAGCTGGCCCACAAGCACAATGTGATGATGGTGCCTTATGGCGGGGGCACGAGTGTGTCCGGGGCAATCACCTGTCCGCAGGAGGAGAAGCGAACGATTTGTGCCTTGGACACGTCCCAGATGAATCGACTGCTGTGGCTGAACAGGAAGAACCTCACCGTCTGCTTTGAGGCGGGCATTGTGGGGCAGGATCTGGAGCGAGTGCTACGCGAGCAGGGACTCACGGTGGGTCACGAGCCCGACTCCTACGAGTTCAGCACCCTCGGCGGCTGGGTGGCCACCCGGGCCTCGGGCATGAAGAAGAACGTATACGGCAACATCGAAGATCTCGTGGTGCGGGTGCGCATGGTGACTCCGAGCGGAACCCTGGAGCGTGAGTGCAGTGCTCCGCGCGTGAGCTGCGGTCCGGACTTCAATCACGTGATTCTTGGCTCGGAGGGAACGCTGGGCGTGATCACGGAGGTGGTGCTGAAGGTGCGTCCCCTGCCAGCGGTCAAGCGCTACGGTTCCCTCGCCTTTCCCAACTTCGAGCAGGGAGTTCTTTTCATGCGAGAGGTGGCCCTGCGCCGCTGCCAGCCCGCCTCCGTCCGGTTGATGGACAACGAGCAGTTCATGTTCGGACAGGCGCTCAAGCCGGAGAAAAGCTGGTGGGCCAGTCTCGTGGATGGACTGAAGCAGCGCTATGTAACCGCCTGGAAGGGCATCGATCTTAGCGAGATCTGTGCCGCCACTCTGCTCTTCGAGGGCGACCTCAAGGATGTGCAGCGTCAGGAGTCCATCATTTACGAGATCGCAGCCAAGTTCAAGGGCTTTCCAGCTGGCGGACAGAATGGCGAACGCGGCTACATACTGACCTTTGTGATTGCCTACATCAGGGTGAGCCTCGACCCTATTTAATCTCAGTTTGCAAAAGACTAAAGCAATTTCTCTCTAGGATTTCGGTCTGCATCAGGGCATTGTGGCGGAATCATTTGAGACATCGGTGCCCTGGGATCGTTGCAGTCTGCTCTGTCGATCTGTCAAGCAGCGTGTGGTGTCGGTAAGTACATTGCAGCCATTCGTCATATCTCGTGTGTAGACTCTTCCTTGATTTCTATCCAGGAATGCTACAAGCGTCAGATTACATTCTACACGATATCGTGTCGTGTGACCCAGACCTACGATGCCGGTGCCTGTATCTACTTTTACTTTGGCTTTCGCTGCGTGGACGTGGCCAATCCTGTGGAGCTGTTCGAGGCCATTGAGCACAGTGCCCGCGATGAGATTCTCTCCTGCGGCGGCTCGTTGTCCCACCATCATGGAGTGGGCAAGATTCGCAGTAGCTGGTATCGCAATGCGGTCACCGAGACGGGCAGTGCTCTGTACTCGGCGACCAAGCGGCATCTCGATCCAAAGAATATCTTTGCCCTGGGCAATCTCCTGCCGCTGGAGGAGGATACGCAGAAGCCAGCACCAGCACCACCTTCAGCACCACCACCGAAAGCCAAACTGTAGAGTATTTTCCGTAGAGTTGTGTATTCCGTGTGCTATTCTAAATCCCATTACTGATTTCCTATTAGCTTTTGTGGTTTGTGTTATTTTTGTAACGGGCTCATGTTTTCAATGAGTTTTTATAAATAAATGGAATAATATTTGTAACTTCAATGTAGATCGAATGCACTGAGAGCAACCGCAAAACACTCTACGCAAACTACATCTCCACCCAGTGGAGGCTCTCTGAGGTCTGGTCTGTTCTGTCAGGAGTGGCAGAGGCTCACTTAAGCCAGTTCCAGACATGGCCAATCCCAATTTTGTGTATTTGTGTCTTTGTGTGCGTGTCGGGGCTTCAGACCAAATTCAAATTGTCGATCATTGTCTTCTCATCTGCTTATCGAAGTCATTTGCGGCTGACAGAGCAGCGTCCACGCCAGGAGATCAAATGTCATCAAGTTGTCAACTTCGTTAGCATGCCACAAGGCAACCGGGAAGCAGGCACTATCTCCCTATCTCTCTCTCTTTCTCTCTTCGCTCACTCCTTGGAATCTGGCTAATGGGAATGTGGCAGGCAGCAGGCAGCAGGCAGCCAGCTGCTTATTGATGGTCGCAGAGGAGTCGTTGTCGACTGTCTTGCCTTGTTACCCTGGCCAGTGGGTATCCATGTCCATGTGCATGCCCCCTAAGCGCCTTTAGGACATGCAAACACACACGTACACAAACATGCGCATATGTACATGAGAGGACTATAAATAAAGATTACAATCAGCCAAAAGTTGGCCAAAAGGAGTCCCGTCTAAGCCACGGGACTGCCGCCTGGAAATTGTCAGCAATTAACCCGCGGGTCAGTTGCAGTCGCATTCGCAGTCATTCCCGCCGTGATTTATGCCCCTCAAACAGCCTTAAAGTCACACACAATCAAGGCAGTCCTAAAGAGAGTAAGATGGAGAGAGAGAGAGAGAGAGAGAGGGAGAGAGCGCGAGATAAATGCCATCCTGACACGTTCTCCAAGTATAAAACAAAGTCGGATGCGCCTTGATGAATCTGCTTACCTAAGCGGAAGAGGGAAGGAGATGTGCATACCTCATTTGTGTGGTCAGCAGAAAGAGAGCGGGAGTGAGAGAGAGAGGGAGGAAGAGCACGAGAGGGAAGGAGTAGTTCTGTCAACAGAAACATAATGCAGCCCATGATGCAACTAGAAAAGGTAGTCTCGTCGGCATAAAGAGTCAACGATCTATGCTGTTAATACATAAGTTCTAGTGAAAGGGTTCTACGTGGTAAGTGTGAGATTTTTCAATATGTTACTACTTAAAAGCTGTTGTTATTATTTTTTTGTTTGTAGATTTTTATTATCGAAATTTCTTGTCGCACATAACCTTACAATTGCATCATGATGCAGCTAATGCCAGGAGAAATCTGAAAGCATTTTATTTATTTGATTTCTATTCGTTCTATTCCTGTTATGCAACAGTTACGAATAAGAACTAAAATGCAATTCGTGAGAGAGCTCTCTGGGAATGCCGCACCTTATATTAACACACTTTGCATTGCAATGAAGAATTTCCAAAGAGAACGAAATATTCCACGAACTGCGTTGCTCTTAGCAACAAAAACAACAGTGTTAGAGCCAAGTTAACCCATTGAAGCAGTCTGTCGTCTGCCCACGCTCGGCTGACGTCGCCGTCGTCGTAGTCGCTGCTGCCTTGTTTTCCGTTGCCTCGGCAGCGCACCGAGTCGCACCTGGCGCTCAGTCGCAACTTTGGCGACCAAGTAACAACATCGCAGGCAAACGAAACACTCGCGTGACACAACCAACACAGGAATTACAGTTGTTATTAGAACTTTTCAGAGGGGAACATAATTAAAGTGAGTGAGCAATAAGTGTGAGAGCAGCAACTCCGTAAGAGAGAGGTCGAACCGATCTCCTCCTAGCAGCTTCAGTTTTGTGGCACAATCTCTCTTATTCGTGTTGCATTTGCTCTTCGTTCGTGTTGCCTGCCACATCGTGTCGCGGCTTTCGATTTCCCATTACTGTTCGTTGCTGTTTTGGTGCATTCGTTTCTAAACGTGCGTACGTGTGTGTGCTGGTGTGTGTGGTTGTGGGAAAAACGCAACAAATTATACGGCTGCTGATTTTCTGTGTTTTTTGTTTGTTAATTAAAAACGTTTTGTCGCTTGTAATTGAGCTTCAAATGAGCCGCAAAAAACAGTGAAACAAGTGACTGAGAATCAACCAAAACGAGTCTAGGCTTAAGCGAGACACAACAAAAACAACCAACAATCAGAGCAACTAAATGCATTAAAAGTTCATTAGAAACATGATCAAACATTTCACCATAGCGTCCATCTCCAAAGAGACAGCCATTCCTAGCGGCCTTTCATCAGTCAAGCCATCAGAGAGTCAGTCAGTCAGTCGCTCATTTACTTTGTCAGTTTTAATGCACCTGCCATGACTCGCTGAAATAAAAATTGGTACCGCGTCATAAGCCAGAGATGCCCCTTAATGCGGCTCGAACTCTCGAGCTAACCGGCCTTTGGAGTCATTAAAGCAAAAAAACAGAAACAATTTCGCACTAAAAATCAACCCACAACGGGGGCTCTCGAGTGTTTTATAAGAGAGCAGCTGGCCCATAAACCGATCTCAAAAAGAGCAAAGCAAAACATACTCGTACATATGTATAATAATAATAAAATCATGCAAAAGGCATTTGGTTGTGGCTGTGGCTTTTGACCAATTTAAGTTTTTGTGGCTGCAACGCCAACGCAAAATTTGTTGTTGCTTTGCGATATTTGGTTTATGAGTTCTTTTGCTTTGTGTGGGTTTACTTGGCATTAGTCCTGGCCTTGGAGTGCCTTGGCGACTTATCAATTTAGATAGAACATAAATATTTCGCTTCAGAACTGTTTGGAAATTCCCCCAAGCAGAATTCCCATACTCAGAGAACACCATTGTGTGTGCTACACCTTTTTTCAGTCTTATATAACCCCCAACTGCTGGTTAACTTTAGAAATTCCAAGAATACCCATTCGTGAGCGGGCAATGTCTGGGGATAATTCATCAAATCAACTCATTCCACTCGCCTTTTTGCATACTTGTACGCGTCTTGACAACTTTGGACAGGGATTATAAAAACGTGCCTTTAATTTATCCAATAGATGTTTGAACTGCCCATCAGGTTGACGTTATACAAATGTTAGCCATAGGCCTGCACGTTCAGCATAAATGAGGCATTAAGCCGCAATTGCCAAAGAACCGAAACAGGAGAAGCGACCGCAGCAACAACAACAAAAACAACAGTCAGAGGCAAGTGCAGTCAAGGCGGGCTTAATTAACATGCAGCTGGCAACGTTCCCGTCAACAACAAAAACAACAACCTAACGACAACAACAAGCTGCAAAAGAACAGTGCAATTCCAAGATATCAAAAAGCGAAAAACGTTTTCTCTTTTGGTTTTTTGTGGTGTGCTGTGGCTGTGGCTAGAAGGTGTCGACGACGTCGAGCAGTCTAAGTTTTGCCCATCTCCAGACTAATGATGCTGGGGCTGACGCTGCCACTGCCTCATGCAAGAACTGCGCCCTGCAGCTGTTAATTAATCTGCAACGGCAAACAGAGGGGAAGAGAACCAAGAGGAAGAAACGCAGCAGCCAAAAGCAATTACGGGAGCAGAGACAGTGACGGAAACAACAAGCAACAACGGCAGAATCAACAGCAACAGCAACAAATAAAGCAAAATGTAAGTACACACAAAACAATTCATAGAGCTATGATCTCTAAATCACATTTACGCTCCTACTATTTCCCGTGAAATCTGTCCCTTTTCTAATGAAAAGGGAATATGTTGAGCCACCCCTTTTTCCGGGTGGCTTTAAGTGCAGCTGCCTCTGGACTTTCATTCATGCTGCTGCCGTAGCGGGAGCTGTGACAAAAGCAGCGGCAGCAACAGTAGCAGCCTCCCCATCGACTTTCTAAGCCAGTTGCCAATTTGGTGCATTTCGCCGATTTGGCAAGAGTCGGGAAAACTGGCCAAAACTAAAACAGGCAACTGGCAGTGCAAACAGCCGGTGACAGTGGCTGTCGTCAATTGTTTACCGTGTGCCCGCTACTGGGAAGACGACTGCAGACCAAAGACCCGGCCCGGGCACCAAAGATTGCAGACGGCAGACAAAGATGCAGTCGTGTAGGCCCATTCGCAGTCCCCGGGTCCGCGTCCGAGTCGAAGACTGGGTCGCGTGTTTGACACAAATGCCGCGAATAGTTTTGAAGGCGGTTTGGCCTCACTGCGACTTATGGTCAAAACCACCGCTGACTTGTGCAAACAAGAAGTCTGCGACTGGCTGTGTGTGTGTTTGTGTTTCTGTGTGCCGGCTGCTTCCTGTGACTCTGCTTATTGCGTTTTAATAAGCCGCGGCGAGTAGCTGCGAGATAGTTTTCAACGATTGGTCCCGAACCAAGTGTTGCATGTTTGCTTAAAGTAGCCGCTCCAGCAGACCCCCGAAGAACCAATAATCAGGCAAGCAACAGAGCACGCAAACCATGCCACGGGCCGGGGTATTTAACTCGCGTGCCATCGTGGGCAAACGGTGGGTCAGCATGGGTTAAAGTTGCTCATGTCGGCCCCCAGGCTATCACAGAAATCTCTTTTCGATTGTCTTTCTTTTACTGGACTCGAGGCGAACTTAATGAATACTTACAATCTCTTGCGAGATGATCTTGAGGGTAAATGGAATCTTTGGATACGAATATTTGCCTAGATAAATTCCTTAAGGTCTATTCATCAGTCAGGCATGTATTTGTTTTCGATTCTTTGAATTCAATAAGAATTATTTTATAATTGATTTAAATGCCCCACTGATCAAAATTAGCTATGGATAACAATTCTACAAAATTCGTAGATATTGTGGTGCTGGATTAATGAAACCTTTTCTGGCTATCATTAGGTCTGCATAATAAATATAATCGCTGTATCCGTAGATCGATCACCCAGCCCAATGGAAACAATGGGAAAAATGTTGATTGTCCAGCAGCAACAATTTCCATTTTGCTGGCCATTGTGCGGCGGCAGCTTTGAAGCCATGATTCCATGATCCATGGAATCGACTCCAGCTTTGGGGCATTCGTATTTGCTATTTGGCAATTTGTCGTTGAGATACGGCAAGTGTTCGCTCGAGTGTCGGACGGACTGAGATGCCGGGCATAGTCATAAGTGGCCAAGTATCTTTTTTATCCATAAGTCGCGCTCTGCAGTTGCAGCGGCACATTGCTCAAGATCGATTGACTGCTGCTCGTAATAGGCTTAAAGTGGTTGGGAAATGCTGCGGCTTGAAGTCCATTCATAAGCCATTGGCCACGCCTCGTTATGGTGACCCTCAGACACATGAACTTGGTTCATAAAATGAACAAACAAATAAAAACCGAGTTCAGTTGAGGAAAAAACAACACGCACTCAACAAGACAGCCAATAAATGTCCGACAGTGCAAAAAGGCCATAATAACAAACTAAAATAGACACTCAAAAAAGCCACCGACTTAAAGCTAACAAATTTGTGGCAACAACAGCAACAGCAACAGGAGGAGCAACAGCAGCAGCATAAACAGCAACAAGTTGGTCAAGTTTTTGCTTTGTTTTAGTGGCACTCATTAGCCAAGTTATGAACAGTAGCTGCAAAAACAAACAACCAAAGATTCGAGCAAAGCGAAATATGGTTAAAGCGTTTTAAGCCGAATGCAGCTGGCACACTGCCTGACAGAAGTACTCACATACCTGCCTTGCCTTAAGGCATTGCTTAAAGTTTTCCTCCTTCCTGTGTAACGAAACTTTTCGCATGCAGTGTAACTGATATTTGATGCTGTTCCTTAGTGTTTTTTGCAGCCCCGTTTCCATGGCCCACCCAATCTATGGTAGTGTTCCCAACGCACAAAACCGATGTTCTCCCCAAATCAATTAAATGAAATCAGATCTGATCAGATCTTTGGTCTCGCTGTGTGGTTTGGGGGGTTTCTAATACCCCAACAAACACCAATTGTTAGACCACAAAGTTGCACGAGTCGTTGGTTTCAGAATTGGTTTCTCATTTTCATTGGGCCTTTCCTTTTCTTTTTTTTTGTGTATTGTGTTTTTTTTTGGTTTCTCATTTTTGTGGCATTGTTTGAGCGATTTGTTTGAATTTCGCCGCCCGACAATGTCTGGCTGTGGAGTCTTTTGCAGAAGATGCCTCGCCAGCTTTTTGGGGTATTTTTTTTTCAACATTTTTTTCTTGAGCTGTGTGTGGCTTGGCATTTTATCCCAGTCACGCTGCAAGTTATTTGCGCCGTCTCTGGTCTCTGGTCTCAGGTCGTGCAGGGACCCAAGTTCTGTCTTCTCTGTTATTATGCCAGCCGGTTTCATCGTCATAAAGAGGCTCAAAAGAAGAAGGAGGAAAAATAGGAAGACTAAACGTAGGAATCGAAGACTTGGACACCCTCGTATCGTTGAGGGTGAAGCTTTTTGGTTTCATATACGTAGAAGGTCTTAGAGTTATAGTGGTAATAATTCATTTTCCTCTACTATTCCCATAATTATTCCACTTTGCTCTACAAAAGTCTGCTTAAAATTGTTATGCCCCGTGCAAGTGTATTCACAACAACGTCAAAAAGGAACAAAATCCGAATGAAAACGTCTTGGGTCTGCAGTTTTTGTTTGGTAATCCGAGCTCTGAGCCTTTTGATTTATGCAGTTGGCTACGTAAACTGCGGCAGTCTCAGTACTAGTAGATTTGAGATTCTACTCTTTCGAGAGGGTGTTACCCAGGAGAAGGTATGGTTCTATCAGGCTCTTAGGTGGAACTGCAGATCTTGACATCATGATTGATTTGAGAGCTGCAGGAATCTGTTTTAGTTAGACTACATTTTCTCAGTTCTCATTTAACGAAGTAAAAGATGAAGAGTATTCCCTGTGAGGCTTATTCTTACTTTGAGTTTTGCTTCAAGATAAATACTTTGTAGCTCCAGTCGATGCTCCGCACTTGTTGCATTTTAATATTTTTGTGGGAAAACTTTTGCCAAATTGGTTGGCGAAAGAATGTTTTGGCAGCTGCGTTTGGGGCGACTTCTCTCCCAGTATCGAATTATTCATCGCTCGTTTTGTTTTGACTAAAAAGTAAGTCAAAAGCTCGTTATGCATGCAGCCAGCGTCACGGAGATTTGTGTGCCGGGCCTGCAATTTGCAAGTAATTCAAGCCACGTCGAGTGGCTGCCTTTTGTGTGTTTCTTATTTTCGGCGATGAATGAAATCAGCTCTCAACTGAGCGCCAACCTTGCGAATACTTCGGCAGTGCTTCCGCTCTGAGGTAGGCAATTGACGGAGTCTGTGTCTATTATGTATGTGTCTCTATCCGTCAGAGTGCTCCATGTCCAATTATACAATAATTTGTACAACAGCAAAACGTGGCAGCCACTTCATTGGAGGAAGCCTCTTCGAAGGCTGAACTGAACTTTGTGCGAATCATTTGGCTGCAGGGCAATTGCTCTTCAAGTGTTAAAATACATCAAAATTACTTCATTTCCATTGTGGATGAAGTTGATGTGGTTTCCCATTCAAGTGGGCTAATGACTGCCGGTAACTCGAGACACTTGGAGATCACACTGATCTGTGTGTGTTTTTTTGTGGTCACGCATTAATTTCTAACCCTTGGACAGACAGCCAGCCAGCGGGCACTGTCAGCAGCTTTGCTGTCTTTTATTTTCACACCCAGGCAGGGCATCTTCTAAGCTATTTTTTCGTGGCTATCCGATTACAGTTGCTCAATATCTCTGGAGCTTTGTGCCTCGTTTGCATATGACACAAACACACACTAGAGACAAAGGCAACTTCTAACGATGCCGTTTTTTTTTTTTTGTAAATGTTGTCACCATTTCGCGTCGCGTTGTTGATCCGTTTTGGCCTCCAAATATTTGCATAATTTTCGTAGAATCGTAACTTCTCCACCTGCTCGCCAAACTAGGTGCCAAATGCGCAGTTCGAATCGGGCCAAAAGTTATTCTCAACGTTTGTAAATATGCTCACGATTTGGCCATAAAGTGGCTGGCTGCCCGCAACTATGAAGTTGACCAAATGGCTTGTACTTTCACCGCCGCACACATTTCAAATTGAAATTCAATTATGAAACCCAATACGCCCAGCTCCAAGTGGAAGTCAAGCTTATTGCTTCAGGGGGAAATCAATGCGAAAAGCGTTAATATTTATTAATTGAAGGAGTGCCAGAGCTAACCTTAGGGTTAAAACTCAACCTCACGCTCACCGATATCCGATATTTGAATGCTCTTCGTGTTCAGCATTTTGTCTGCAAAGTTTTCTCTTTGCTTTGACTTGCTTTTTAATCTAATTAATTACACATTTCTTATCAGCAGACTTGGATTAATGTTGAGAAATTAAAACGAATTCGGCATCTTTAAGCCCAAAGTAAATTAATAAGCTCGCTTGATCCGATATCAGCTAATAGTTGGCCATATGTCCTCGTGTACAACAACGTGTTATGGCCAATTAAGAGGCGGGTCTCTGGTTCATTTACCTGAGACATCGTTAGCGTCATCATTTTGAGTCGTTCTGTATTGATTGTCGTATGCAAATGACGCTGTCTGGGTGGTGGCGGTGGGGGGTGAAAAAACACTCACTATTCCCAGCCAAATGTCAAGCGAAATCTGTGAATCTGTCACTGACTTGTCGCTTATCTGTCCCTCTCTCTCTCTCTGTATCGT